TGGGGTGGGGGGGGGTGCCAGCATGGGGAGAGGTGAAAAGACGAAGTGGAAACAGCCACAGTGGCTTGGTCTGTTAGTTTAGTTTCCTGGGCTTCTTGAGACAAGCACAGGACAGTAAAATTCAAAGACAAGAAATGCATTTATGCATTAAATGTCTCCCCTCACCCATTCATTTTCAATAATAGAGCAGAGGACTGATACCCAACAGGTAACAGTGGCAGGCTTCTTCCCTGCTTCCACCCCACAGACAGGGTCTCAGTATGTAGCCCAGGCTGGCCCTCAGACTCACAACCTTGTAGACTCAGTCTCCAAGCTGCAGGGGTTACAGATGTTGCCACCACACCCAATTCACAATGAGATGTTTTCCCAGTTCCAGAAGAAATGAGGTGGCTATCGACAGTTGCTCGATGTGAGGACTGGGAAAATATTCTATGCTATTAGGAAATGAGTTATTGACAGGATTTGGACTGGAGGAAGTATAGATGTTAGCTACGGTGAGAGAAATAATTCAGTAAAAGTCTGCTCATTCATCATCACTTTAGTCAGATCATGTCATTCTGTTTCTGGGTGACCCATATACCTCCTAACTGGTCTCTTTACCGCCTGCCTTTTTTTTTTTTTTTTCTCCATCAAGTTCCTACCAAGTAGCTACAGAGAGTTTCCAAAACAGTAGAAGAGAGAGCATGCTACCCCATGCTACTACTTCAGGGCCTTCAGTGGATTTGTTACCTAAATTACTCCTCCCCCAATGCTGTCCTTAGATACTGTTTGTCTCCCAGATGCTCATGTGGCAAAAGCATGATGAGGTTAAGAGGTGGTGACACTTTCAAGAGCTGAGGACAGTGAGAGGGTGTTAGGTAACTGAGGGCATTGCTCCTGGAAGGGATTAATGCACATCTTGGGAGGAGGAGACAGCAAGTTCCCAGTTCAAGGCTAGCCTGCACTGTATACAGAGATTCTGTCTCAAAAGAAAAAAGAAGGAAGTAAATTTAGAAGATGATTTAAAGACAGTATTTTTCAGGTATTTATGTCTAGATGGATCTGCTTTCGATTTAAAAAGAAAATAAAGCAAAAGAGAATTAAAGAATTCTTATAAGGTGCCTAAATAACCAAGAATAGAGAAAGTCAACATATGAGGCAGGTATGGTGGTTCATGCTAGCAACTCCAAGACTGAAGCAAGAGGACTCTGCAAGTTCAAAGCCAGCCCAGTCATAGAGCAAGTTTCAGACCAACCAGGGATACAGAAAAAGACCTTGTCTCACAAACAACTAGAGAAATGGGAGCCAGAGAGACAGCTTGGGTTCAGTTCCCAACAGATGTGGCAGCTCACAACTGTCTGTAACTCCAGTTCTGGGGCATCTGACGCACTCTTCACACATGTGGTACACATACATACGTGCAGACAAAAACACCTATACACAGAAAATAAAAATAAATCTTCTAAAAAGGACTAGAGAAAAGAAAGGAGATGAAAAAAGGGATGAGGAGATAAAGAAGATATAGAGAAAGGAGGAGAAATGCGTGTGAATAAATGAGAGCAAGTCAGTCCACATCTGGATATAATCTCACCATTGAACTGAAAAGACACTAATGGGCAATAAATGACTCTCGCCAAGTGGAAAGGACACAGAAAATGGGATTTAGCTCGTCATGAGTTAGCACAGACTTACCAAGTTCCTCGGAGACATTCTTTGCCAGTTTCTCTGTCTCCTTCATCAGCTGAGATATGATGGACTTGAAGGTGTTGACAGTCCGTGATTCCACTTTCCTGAAAACTAGGATCGAATGAACATGAGTAGTGTGAAGGACGCACAGGTCAAACGCTGCCATTTCCAAATCCTCCTCTGCCCTCGTCACATCCTCTGGAAAGCCACAGGCTCCAAGCTCACACTAGTAAGCGGCCCAAATCACAGCACATACTCAAAAGCATTGAAACAGCTTCACGTTGCTTCCTGTGCTGAGTCTAATGTCCCTCCTGGCCTAGGTGTAATCCAGCCTCTCAGTCTAGGTTTCCTGGTGCCTCTGCGCTGACAAGTCTGGTAGCGCTCTGGTTTCTGCAAACACCAACTCCAGCCCTGTTTATCTGCTTTCTTATATTCCTTCTCTGCACCATCTCGCCCCTGAAGAGTGTTCCCACTGATCTTACTATTCACATGCTATGTTCTGGCAGTAGAGAGTTGACAAGAACTACCAGATGCTGCACAGAAGGCTGATTCTTGGAGGAAAGAAAGGTGTGCGCCTAAACTCGCTCATCAGAGTCCTGCTATGCAGGTGCAGGCAAGGCATCGCGGAGCAAGGGAAGGAAAGTCAGTCTCTCTGGGGAGGCTGCTGTAAAATAAGCATGAGAAGGAGAAAGGCAGGAACAGGAGCGGCCAAGCACAAAGCCCAGCTGGGACGCAGGCGCAGAATAGCACAGGGAGGGTTTGCAGAGTCAGGGAATGCCACGCAGTCTTTACAAGACTTGGAAGTAGAAGAAGCTCAAAGGGCTCAAATTGCAGAGAAATCCACGGGTGTTGCTAAAGGGGTGTGGTGGGCCCCTTGAAGGGCCAACTCTCCATGGGGGACTCTCAGAAATGAACAGGGCAGGGCCCTCCCATTCCACTCAATGCATTCTGCCACTGACTCAAAATCAGTGCTCAGGCCAAGACGAAGCCAAGTGTAACTTCTCTACCTCCGGGCTTACATGGCTAGTTAATCATTAATAACCATCTGCTAGTGAACCTCATTTTTAAAACCTGTTCCGGTCATTTGATGAGAGCTATTATGATTCAGATCATTCCAACTACAATCATCAGATCCATACAGGAACAAGATGACCCCATAGTACCTGCCTAGGGCATGGAGCCCAGGGGCCTGACCCAGCCACTGGCTATCAGTTCTCTTGCTGGTGCTTGCTAAGGGCTTTAGAGATAAAGAGCAAGGATGTTTGTCCCTTTTAGGCTACTTTTGAGACTCACGCATCACTCGGGAGAAGAGGTCGATTAGGGAGAAAGATAGGACGCACATGTGACTATTTCTGAAGTTTGGAGTTAAAATGCTTTTACCAAACAAACGCTTCAGAGTTCATCCATCTGAAGGAGGAGGAGCAGAGAGTCACAAGTTCGCAAGGGGTGTGTTGCTGAGCCCACTTACTTTTCTGGGGCTTATAAACAACCTGCTCGAGTTCTTCCACGTTGTCCCTGACCGTGGCGATCACGGACACATCCAGGGCAGCACAGAGTTTGCAGATGTGCAGAATGGCTTCCTCTACGGTTTTGGCGTCTCCAACACCAACTGAGGCAGTCAGCCCGATGACCTGTAAGGAGCATCCCCGACACTGGTTCTCGGATGTTCTCCAGGATGTTGTGAGCAGAACCCCCCCCCCCCCCAAGTGCAGCACTAAATAAATCTCATCATCCAGACACTAGCCAGAGTAAGAACGGAGAGGAAACCTTTTCCAGGAAGGGCTAGTCTTTCTTTACCCCTGTGTCTCCTACTAAGGAGGAAAACATCAGATGGGAACGAAAAGGAATAACGTGTCCATTCCAGTCACATCCATGTCCCATTCACTTCTGTGTGCTTTGACAAGCACCTCAACAGTCAGTGGAGGGGAAATGGCCATTTAAAAACGAGAGCTGGGTAGATTCAGTGAGATAACTTCCTTCAGTAATAAATAACCCGACAACTATGGAATGATTAACTCACCAGTGAGAAATCTGTTTACCATCAACATTACTTGAGAAGATCAAGCTGTGGGTACCACACTAAATGTCCTTTAACCTGTACTTCTGAAATGGGTAATAATTGGAGCTAAAGAATTGCATACAATTCATGGTTTACAGCCTCATTTGGGGCCCTGGTATAATCCCATCATTCTTCACTGTATCCATCTCTGTTCTCATCTACTGTTTCAAATCATCTTCATCCTCTCCAACTCCCTCTCCCATTTCTATATTGATGGTTTTCAGCACAGCGCCTGCCTCTCCTCAGATTGAGAGAAAGAGGAATTTCTACCCATGATTCCCTTCCTTCCTGTCCCATCTAAGAATGACCCTCTGAAGGGATTCTTCTCATGTGATATTGGACGGGTTGCTGCTCATTTCCTGTGCTAAGCCATAGACTTGCCCACTGACGCTCTACCCTCCAGATGTCTCCAGGAGCATCTGCCATAACTAACAGCTTTACTGGTTGTCCCCCGTTCTCATCCTGCCAAATCTGCTGCTGCTGCTCCTTACCTCACTCTACACTCAAGTGATACCGTAGATTTCAGGATGCTGGAGCATGCCAGAATCTTTCATAGCTCTGTGCCTCTGGACACACCGCATGCTCTTAATGAAAAGCATAAAGTCATCTGCCTGGAAAACCTCTGTTAGTTCCTCTCTTCTCGGTTATGTCTTGCCTTACTTTTACTTACGTTTCAACTACACCCTTTACCCGTCTCTACAGCAAAGCTCACGATCAGCTGTGACATAACTATTATGTACCCGGCTCCCTGTGCACACTTAACTGTATGAGAGCCAACATTATATCTTCTATATCAGTGTCCCCATGGCCTAAAACAGTGCCCAAGGTACATGGAAGCCCATGATTCATACAGTTGGCCCTCAACATCCAGATGTTATAGACATCTGTGAATTCACACAACCATGGATCAAAAATATTTTGTTAACCTCATAAGTACTAAAATGTATAAATTTCCCACCTTCACTCCCTAAACAATATAGTATAAGAACTACTTATATAAAAATTTACATTATACTGTGCAATATTAGTAATCTAGAGCTGATACAAAGAATGTAAGAGGAAAGTGTGTAGATTGTATATAAATGCAATGTCATCTCATACAAGAGACTTAAGCAGCCTAGATTTTGGTTCCTGTGAAGGGTATCCACCCTGGATACCAAGGACAACTGTCTGTCAAATGAATGAACCAAAACTAACCAATGAGTTGTAATTGATGGACCTAAAATCGGAGGAGGGTAATCTCAAATGTGGCTACAAGAGTAACTAGATGGAATTCTGGATGATTGTGGCTCCTTTGAGACATCATCTGACTGAAATACCTGAGGCAGTGGGTCTGGCGACTCTCCAAGTTTGTGATCTAGGTATCTGAACATGATCTGATTGTACGGGTGGTGTTTGCTGGTGTTGTGGCATTCATCAAATATCATCAAGGTGAAGACGGACAGTGAGGGGATGGTCCCATTGTTGAGATTGTTCACGAGAATCTGGGGTGTCAGGATGATGATGTCATTGTTTTCAATAATGGGCTGCACTGAGACATTATCAGTCGTTGCCCCAGAAATGCCTGCTACGTTGTACCTGGGAAATGACGGAAATCTCTTATTACCGACTGCAGTGTGAACAAGGAAACAAAGGTGAAACATCAGATCAGAGCAACAATGAATGAAGTCCCCCTAAGCCCAAAAGAATGCAACCAGGGAATAATTTAAGCTTACACTCAAACCTGACACGAAACCAGAGATCAGGATATGCAATCTGGTTAATTGACCACGGTATATTTATTCATTCGAGTCATTAGGAGATGAATAATTCTTAAAAGAGTAATGTCAAATGAAGTAAAAAATCATTAAGAATGACTGGTGTTTCATCTTCAACCACCAAGTCGTTCACTCTGTCAGAGCAATCCATGAAGGCTTAGCACTTCTGGTGGAGCTAAACGAAAAAGGTTATTCCACAAAGGAATTACCTCTAAAAGCTAAGTCTATGGTTATTTTCTTTGAATCACACAGAACAGGGGCTGGAGAGATGGCTCAGTAGTTAAGAGTACTGGCCGTTCTTCCAGAGGACCAGGGTTCAGTTCCCAGCACCCAAGTGGCAGCTCATAACTGTCTGTAACTCCAGTTCCAGGGTATCCAACACTCCCATACAGACATACATGCAGGCAAAATACCAATGCACTTAAAATAAAATATATACATTATTTTAAAAAAAAAACCACATACCCAGAACAACCAGGCATGTCAGTGTACACTGTAATCCCAGTATTTAGAGGGTAAAAGCAAGAAGATCACATCTTCTAGGCCAACCTCAGCTACATAGTGAGTTGGAAGACAGCTCTGGTTATATATATATACATATATATATGTATGTATATATGTATATATATATAACAAAATATATTCATGGCATGAAGCTAGAATTTAAAAAAAGAAAAAGGCAGTTGGACTGATTGTAATACATACCCAAGTCTTTCAAAATAGCGTGAGAACACAGTTGCCTGCTGTTCATAGACAGGAATTTGATTAGCAAAGAAGACCACTTTCCCTTTCTGTCCACGTGGGAATCTTTTAAGATGATGCTCACATATAAGAAGTGACACGAAGGTTTTCCCACAACCTTTCAATAGAAACGGATAACCAACGTTAGATGCTTCTCTAGAATGTACTTATTTTCGGCTTCCCTATCACCATTGGGACACAAATAAACTAATCGGTCATCTGCACTGACATGACAGTTTAAACGATGGCTAAAAACCATCAAACTACGTCCTAGGTAACGTGCACTCAAATAGCGAGACCCGAAAGCAAACAAAGAGGGCATTTCTCTCCCGTTGTCCATGTCCCTTACCAAGATACACTGAGACTACTGAGAGGACAGCTTTCCCAATGGCAAACACAGCAAGAAAAACCTTGAACTTCTTCGTTGTATCATGGTACCCAAAGACAGAAGAAAAAGCAAAGAGAAAATGACGTAAGTTACTGTAATTGACTCACCAGTAGGAGCACATATTATTGTATTTTTCCCTTTCTCAGCAGGCAGAGCAAGCTCCAGTTGGTAATTTCTTGGTTTCAATGGGCTGTTCAAATTATTAGAAGATGCTTCTAGAATATAGAGAGAACAAGGCCAGTGCTCTAACCACCGTTCAGTGGACATGAGTTCTGACTCTAGCAACAAGGGCCCGTTTTGGAGGTTTGGAATCTGGCCTCTTATCAACCGTCCCACTTCCCCCATTGATTTGGAGCACACACTTGTCTCTCAGTGATAAAGAATCAACAACAAGGAGACAGGAAAGGCCAAAGTGAATTCTTTCTAAATCATGGAAACTTGATTAAGAAAAAAGGGAAGCAAGACTGGTCTAATTCAGAGCAAAGCAACTCAGAACAGAGAAGCAACAGACCCCCAAAGCCAGCTGAGAAGAACGGTACTGCCACCATCAGGTTCTCCAAGCAACTTTCGCAAGGAGAAGCCATGCTGTGCACTTCTCAGGATCCCAGATGGATCAGCACAGGTTTAATGATCTGAGGCCTCATCTCAATAACAGGTCAGCATACAAAAAGTCAGGAGACAGAAAAGACTGAAATCACCTCGTGTGTCCAACCTTCCCACTGTAAAAAAAAGAGACTTTTGAGAAAGTTGAGAAAATCAGCTTTGCTTAAAAGACATGTATGGATCACTGTGCTTCTGAAACATTTAAAGCGACCCACACTGTGTCACCCTGGAATGACAGAAACTTTGTGTCATTCAATTGCTGACATCATTTGTAAGGTATCTTTTTTTTTTTAATGTTCTAAAAAATTACATTGTTCTTTTAACACTATTCATTATTCATCTTATTTCCTTCCTGGTACATTTTGTTATAAATATGTTGAGGCACATCTTACAACCTTCTGTTCTCTTTATGATGAAAACGTATTTCAAGGAGTACTGGAGGCCTTATCCAGCCATAGGTAACTTCACAGCACCATGTGTATGAGAACCAGTTGACTGAGCCCTCCACACAGAGGCTGGCAAACAGAGGGCACATAGCCCGCTCATCCACATGTATGGCAGCCCTGGGATCCTGGAAGGAGACTGAGCAAGTGGCTCAGAAACAGAAGCATTCTTTTAGAGCACAAGGTTACTTTGGGTGTCACAGGCACTGAAGTTCTGTGAACATTACATCAGAGGAAGCTGTGGACGTACATTCTCAGTGGTAGCAGGCAGATAAAAGCAGCAGAGGCCACAAAAGATGGGAACAATGATTCTAACTATGAAGTCCCTATGGCCACACAAATTCCCTTTCCTTTCCTAATCATCTTTTAAAAAAGATTTTCAAAAGGCATCACAGTGCTGGAGAAAGACCATTATGGAAAAGAACAAATGATGCCTGGTACCTGAAGGTGGGCAGGGATTCTGAGGACAAATGATGCCTGATACCTGAGGGTGGGCAGGGATTCTGAGGACAAATGATGCCTGATACCTGAGGGTGGGCAGGGATTCTGAGAACAAATGAGGCCCGGTACCTGAGGGTGGGCAGGGATTCTGACTGAGAATCTGGCACTCTGGCTCTTCCTGTATGAAAATCTGTATGCTGGACATCTCTGTTCCATCATCTTCAGCAGCTTTACTTTCAACCCTTTTCAAACCTTTGTGAGATAACAAAAAACAAAAAACAAAAGCTTAGACTCTCAATGTAATCTGACTGTGGTTTGGGTTGTGAAAGCCCTAAAAGTCATAACACTGAACATCTAAATTTCCTCTGAGCTCTTACAGCCATGCCTTTCCCTTCCTTAACATTTCATTTATTTTTAAAATTCTTTTATTAATTAATGTATTGTGTGTGTCACTCATGACACGGAGTGTGTGGAGGGCAGAGGACAACTTTTGGGAATTGGTTCTTTCTATCAAGTAAGTCCTAGAGGTTGAACAGGCTCAGTGACAGCAGTCTTTACCTGCTAAACCATCTCAAGGGCCACCTTGCATTTCTTAAAGCAACTGGAAGAATCATTTTGAGTTGGAAGCTCAATTTGGTGTTTGAATGCCAGTGTCACTTAGTACCGTGTGACTCAAAGTGTGGGACATGCCGCTGATGAGCAGTACGCACCGTGAGCCCCTCCCCTCTCAGTAGCCCATGTGGATAACATTTGCAAGAGATTCATTCCTAGGCACACGAAAGAGACACTCATGGCTTTCATCTCTGGCTAATCCCTCGCCAAAGACACAGACAGTTTCTACAGTCATTTATGTTCTAAAGAAACCCAGGTGAAAACTAAAACTAGAAACTCGGGTCTTTATCAAACTCAGATTTAAAGCAAGCATGAGTTTCCAGAAGCCAAATAAGATAGATAGGCTTAGCCGGGCGTTGGTGGCGCACGCCTTTAATCCCAGCACTCGGGAGGCGGAGGCAGGCGGATCTCTGTGAGTTCGAGGCCAGCCTGGGCTACCAAGTGAGCTCCAGGAAAGGCGCAAAGCTACACAGAGAAACCCTGTCTTGAAAAACCAAAAAAAAAAAAAAAAAAAAGATAGATAGGCTTAGTCACAGCAAATTCTGCATTCACTCCTGCTCTGTCAGTCCCAGATGGCTTCCAGGCAAGAGAACCAATAAATATCCATCGTTCTCAATATTCAGCCTCTACTCTGGTAGGGAGGTAAGTCTTGTGATTTGAACCTTTAGGTCTGGAATTCTCAAGCTATTTCTCTGACACCTTCAGTTTGGGCTGGACCCCCTTTTTTTTTCCTTTCCCAGACTCTTTGGGCTGTGCAGGCTCATTCCCTCCCAGAACTCAGCTTCCCGATGCTTGTTCCCTAGGGATGTAGCCATGGGTATCTGAACGGAATAGTGTCTTATGAAAAGTAAATTCTGGTAGGATGTGGCAAAGTCCTGTGGCAAATGGTGAGGGGCACAGCATGGTTCAGGGCTCTTTCTTGAAGCGGCCCACCTTCATCAACAATCCACAGTTCACTGAACTTGTTGTCTTCTTTCTCCAAAGCAAGTTTCAGAACCTTGGGCCAGTTCTCCTTATCCGACCTGAGAAGACACTCGACCATCTTCTCCGCACCTGCCATCATCCCTTTGGTGAAGCAGATCTGAGCGAGACAAATGCAGCACGTGAATCAGTTAGCTCAGCTTTCTCTGAAGAAATGTCTACTCAAGTAGCATTTGATGGAAATCTCTGTGAAGTACAGTTCAGTGGGTCTTAGTTAGCATCATTTTTTTACCCCACCTAGCACTAGCTTTTAAGACAGCCTTTCCTTCACCTTTGTCCTTTATATGTGATAGCAATATGTCAAGCCAAATGTTCTCATCTTCTGAATCCTTACATTCATTGTCATCAGCAATCCCAGGGCAAAAAGCTGACCCATGTGATACCCAAGGATACATCAGCATATAGAGCTATTTGAAAGATCCTAACAGCACAACAGCAAATTCTTTAGAGTGGGCACTTTTAATGATAACTAAAATGTTCTTTGTATGTACTATTATGCATGAAGCTGACATGAGCACTTTACGGGTATCACCTCATTTACTCCTACCAGCATGTTAATAAGGAACATTTTTCTTACTTTAGACAGGAAAAAACAGATGCTTAGAGAAGCTAAATGAATTGTCCAGGATCACATCACTAGTTAAGTGATTGAGAGGAGATTATAATAAATGTATCTATGTCCACGAGTCTAGCGTTTTTTCCTTTTCATTTGGTGTACTATTCAATGTGATTTGCACGTGCACAGAACACTATTGAGAGAAAAAGTAACAGGGCAACCTGAGCTGAAAATGGGTTAAATTTCAAATAGTCTAGCATAAAAATTACCCCATTCACGTTAGAATTCTTTTCTAGTCATTACGTCTTCTAGATGAGGGCGTTTATGGGTTTCAGTTATCCTTTGAGGGCCTAAAACAACACTGAAAACAGGAGCCGTCTCCAAGAATCGCAGCATTTTTCTCTAATTTTGTGTTAATTTACCTGTCTGATTTCTTCACATTCCTGATTAATTAAGCATTCAGACAATTCAGAAAGGATATCTGTTGGGTTGATTCTGGCCTTAAATTCTGGTTGTAAACGTCGTAAAAGTAATCTATGTTCCTCTAACTTTTCAATTTTTTGGAAATCCCAACTTTCAATGGCTTCATAAAGTCCACAGTAACCTGAAAAGAAAGAAAAAAAAGGGATTTCTTAAATGAGTCCAACATAAAATGCTTTAACATCAAAACTGTAGGAATTCTGTTTGAATCGATGGTAAGAGAACTCAAAACCATCTGCAAATGGCCTCAGTTAGGGCTGACAGGTCGAAGGCTTGGTCCCCGGTTGTCTTTAGAGGTAACTGCACCATGTCCGCGCTGGCTTCGTTACAGTTGGCACATTGAGTTCATACAGAAGGAGTGATTGAGAACTGTGGCCTCGCTGGAAGACATAAATCTTAGAGACTCGTTTTGGCTCCTCACCATTGTTCTTTGCTTCCTGTCCACCCAGAAGTGCTACTTTGGTTCACCACATGCTCTCCACCATGGTGCCCTGCCTCACCCCACATGGGTGCGAAGCTATAGATCCACCTTTTATTTCCTCAAGCATTTGGTCACAGTAGTGAAAGTCAACTAATACAGCTATTCGTGATTTTCCAAAAAGGAAGTAATATTCATTTTTAGCACCCAACAGTTCAGGCCTTCCAAAATTCATTATCTTTCAGGGTAAAGTCCTAAGGACAGATATGAAGCCTTGTATTTGATCTTAGTATAAAATCTTCAAAATGCCCCCATGTACTTTAACAATAACACACAATTTACTCTTTAAAAATATTTGTTTATTTATTTGTTTGTTTGTTTATTTATTTAATGTGTGTCTCTGTGTACCATGAGTGTGTCTGATGCCTGTGGAGGGCCGAAGAGGATGTCAGATCCCTGGATCTGGAGTTAACGAATGTTGCGGAGTCATCATGTGGGTGCTGGGAACAAAACCTGGGTCCTCTGCAGCAGCAGCAAGTGCTCTTGGCCACAGGGCCATATTTTGGCCCCTAATTTACTTTTAAATTAGTCAAACTCATCATGTTGATCTTCTCAGTAGGAAGCAGTAAGGAAGACAAGAGGAAATATGAATCTTACTTCCTGCCCTTGAAGAGCTTTCCTTCCACACCATTTCAAGAAGAAAATGAAGTCAATGGGCAAATAAAGGAGGAAAAATGACTTCCAACTAAAATAACCCAAGAATGTCTCACTCTAAGGCTCTTGGACAGAATCCCCAAGCTTGCCTGCCTTTAAGACCTACATTTAATTCAATCAGTAGCCTAGGAAGACAATGGTTTTATTCCTATACACCCAAGAAACTAACACAATCCAAGTATCTCCTGGACCTGGGAGATGGCTCAGTGGATACAGAGCTCAGCACACTAGCCTGAGGCCCCGAGTTCCTATCCCCAGTTCTCACGTCAAAAGCCAGTCTAGACAAAGCGGCAAACTCCAGGTTCAGTGAGAGACCCAGTCTCAAATCATAAGGTGAAAAGGTCCCGAGGAAGATACTCAGTGCCAACCTCCGGCCTACCCAAAAGTGCCCTCACACATGTGTACACACACACACACAAATTAGTGTAACTGATGCTCAAGGTTCATCCATGTGGTAGCATAAGTGAGCATCCCTTCCCTTTGTAAAATTAAAAAGGATTCTACTGTATGTGTGTACTGAAGATTTTCTCCTTAAACTGTATTTATTTTTTAACTGTTTACTTATTTATTCTGTGGTGCTGAGATGTGTTTGAGTGTAAGGCCTCACCCCAGGCTAGGGGAATGCTACCACCCTAAACAACACTACATTTGTGATAAAGAATATTAGCACTGCTTGTATCTCAGCTGTGGCAGAAAACACTGCTATGAACATGACTGCAGAATTCTCTCTTCAAAGCTTTGCTTTAATTCTTTGGGAAACATGCCAGGTATGGACTTTCTGGATAATGCAATGACTTTTTTTTTTTTGAGGAAACTACACTATTTTCCACAGCAGTGATACCATTTTACAGCCTACTAATAGTGCACACAACTTACAATTTCTCCACATCCTCATGAGTACTTTGATTTTTTTTTGGACATGAGTCATGGGTGTGCAGTTATATCAGTCACTGGAGATTTCACTTCCATTCCACTGAGGATGAGTGACCCTGAGCATCTTTTCACACATTTGATGGCCAGCTGTATGTCTGGAGAAATGTCAAATCCTTTCTTTTTAATTCATATTGTGACAGGAGGAGGCGGCACTGGAGTGGAGGTCAGAAGACAATCTGCAGTAGTTAATTCTCTCTCTCTCCACCTTGTTTTGAGGCAGGATCTCTCCTTTTGTTTCTGCTAGCTGGCCCATGGGCTTCCGGCCAACTCTTCTGTCTCTACCCCAATCTCACCATAAGAAGGTTTGGAATGCAGATGCACACTGCTGAATCCAGCTGCTTCTCACGGGTTCTGGGAACCCAGTTCCGGTCACCAGGCTGTGCAGCAAAACCTTTCATGAGCTGAGCCCTCTTACCAGCCCACATGAGCAGCCGATCCACTCTGTCTATTTTTTTAACCAGGTTTCCTCTGTTGAGTTCTCGGAGTCCCTTATATTACATATTATAATACATATTCTATGTATTATAGATACTAATCCCTCATCAAATGTATGATTCATAAACATTTTCTCCAGTTCTACAGATTGATCTTCCACTCTGGCCATTGTGACCTTTGGTGTACAAGATTTTTAGATTTTATGCAGCCCTATTTGTCCATTTTTGTTCTGCTTAGCTGTGCGCTTGGCATCATATCTGCAAACAGAGATGCTTCGCCTCTTATGTTCCAATACAGATGTTTCAAAATTCCCTTTCTTGCCTAAATGCAAAAGTTTTTCTAATAAATCTCATGTAATTGTCACAGTAAAAGTTCAATGTGCTGTTTTTGCTTAAGAGACAAAGACTTAAATATAATACTCAGATTAGTTAGAGCCTCCAAGAGGAAAACAATGGATTCTTTGGGGAGGGCTAGGTAAGAGATGAACAAAATAAGCACAAGATTAGTTTACTTGTCTGTTTATCCCCTTCTGTGCCATTTAAATTGTCAGATAAGGGCTGGCTGGGGAGATGGCTCAGCAATTAAGGTTCATAATGTTCTTGGAGAGGGCCTGGGATCAGGTTCCGGCACCCATGTCCGAGCCTCACAACCACCAGTAACTCCAGCTGCAAGGGAATAGCTGGCCTCTGTAGACAATGCACCCACAAGCACATGCCCACTCACAAATACACATACACATAATATTTAAGAGTAAACAGGGACGATAAGCATGCATCACTGACGTGGGAAACGGATAATATGTTACAATGATGGTCTGTCTGTAGGGCAGGAAAAAGAAGCAATAATCAACTACTAATCCCGGAAATAGCAGGAAACCAAGTTTTATTTTATAATAAATGGCATTTAAGGCCTTTTACCTAGTTAAAACAAAAGCATTACTTTTCATAAAACGGTTGCCATCATCACACGGACAGTGTAAGGCTTCCCGGGGCACACCAGCACCTGAGAAGGGCAGTGTGTTTACTTTAGCATCCCCATGTTAATTCAATATACCCGAGTTATAACATGGTGGTTATGTTTCTTGCATTTGTGAGGCCAGCTCAGACTGGCCTAGAACTCACAGGGATTTGCCCGCCTCTGCCTCACCAGTGCTGGGACTAAAGGCGTGCACCACCACAGCCAGCTGACACATTTTCTTTGTCTGTTACATCATTCCCCTACAATGACAATAAATGTAGTCCGTCATGGCTTCCTTTTCTTTGGTGTTTCTTATATACACTGTGCCTGATTTTCATATATGTCTTCTTGTTCACTGCTTCTAACACTGAAGAAAAGCACCCTTTGCCTTCTTTCAAGCTGAGCAACAGAGAGACAAGGAACGTGACTGAAATCCCCTTTAGTAAAGGACTGGCTGCATGCTAAAGTGTGATGCTTGACTTCCACCTGCTCACGTCCGGTCCGTGTAGCATCCCAGACAGAACCTGCGTCGATAGACCTGGGTCCTAGCTGCCCCCGGCGTTTCTGCTAATTAGCTGTGTGACCCTTGGCAAAGCATCTCCCCAGGCCTAAGTTTTCTCATGTACAGAAAAAGAGGAAGTTAAACATTTCTATGATGTCATTCGTCTCCAGATAAGACTGACTCCATATGCTAGCAACATCAGAGACCAAAGAACACACAACACAATTGTAATCCGATGTGAGCCAATTAGTCCATTTAAGGATTAGAATATTCGAGGATGGGTGTGGTGGCACACACCTTGAATCTCAGCACTTGCAGAAGAGAAGCAGACAGATCTCTATGAGTTCAAGGACAGCCTGGTCGACACACCAAGTTCCAGGACAGCCAGAGCTACACCGAGAGATACTGTCTCATAAAAACAAAAAAAAAACAAAAAAAAAAACAAAAACAAAAATAGAACACTCTAGTACTGGGTACACCTTCTGTTTCTCACCCCTCTGTCTCTTCACCAGAAGTAACAATATACTATGTTTAACTTACCAACTCCTTTGGTTTTTGTCTGAAAAGCCACAAGGCATTTGTTTGCTCCCATAACAATACATATTTAGTTTGGCTGAGGTGGAACTTTATAGCTATTATAACTTATGACACTTAAAATTTAAGGGCTGGAGAGATGGCTCAGCGGTTAAGAGCACTGACTATTCTTCCAGAGGTCCTGAGTTCAATTCCCAGCAACCACATGGTGGCTCTCAAACACCTGTAATGAGATCTGGTGCCCTCTTCTGGCCTGCAGGGACATATGTAGGCAGAACACTGTATACATAATAAACAAATGCCAGGCAGTGGTGGCACACACCTTTAATCCCAGCACTCAGGAAGCAGAGCAGGTGGATCTCTATGAGTTCGAGGCCAGCCTGGACTACAGAGGGAGTTCCAGGAAAGGCGCAAAACCACATAGAGAAACCCTGTCTCGGAAAAAATAAATAAATAAATAAATAAATAAATAAATAAATAAATAAATAAATAAATAAATAAATAAATAATATTGCATGCCTACAATTTAGCTGGATTGTCATTTATTGTGGGGGCCCACAGACACCCCAGCTTGTGGCTTGTTTTCATCTTGACTCAAGGTCAGAGAGTCCAAGCTTGTTCTCCCCTGCAAGGCTGCATAATAGGATGCTTTGCCATAAGGTGTGGTTACCAGAGTATTAAGGAGGAGTTTACACTTGATTGTACTTTGTACCCTGAACCGTGATGTCCTTGAAGGGGGGGAGGTCTTTTTACCATCCCCCCCTTGCTTTGGGTATATAAAGGCTGTGAGCCTAGAGTCAGTCCTCCTGAAGCTATCCTGCATCTTTTTCTTCATCTACATCTATATTTCATAGTTATCATTTCCCAATTCCACACTCAATTCAACAGGTCGAGCAGGACTCGACAATTTACATTCACACAGCTTCACTGCAGTATAATGGGCCACTGTGTAAACACTATAAAACTTATTTACTCATTCTCCTGTTGAAAGACATTGGCATTCTAGTAATACTGTCACCTCTCCCACAGTTACAATAATTCTGTAGATTCCTTTGGATATTTCTGGTAGACAACTCTATCATCTGCTTGCAAATAGTCTTTACATTTCCTTGAACAAGGAGGCGTGAACTACATACAGATGCCTCAAGATGAATCCCTTTTCCCTTTTCAGCATTCTGACTAACTCAGCCGAGTAAAGCACTCTGCGTTGCCAGTAAGAAGGAACCAACCTGCATGGTACAGAGCATCCAAGAAGGCCCGGAACCAGCCATCGCTCCTCAGCTGCAGCAGGTACTGGAGGAACAGTGAGGCAGCCTCCATCGGGCCCTTGTTGTTTTTCTCAGCCTGGATGTACTGGACCTCATCTGCAAACAGAGGCGAGGACCAGTGAGCAGCCGGCAGAACCACTCACTGCCGGAAGATAAAACAGAGCAGACCTTCCCACATGGGCTGGAAGTCATAATGTGTCACACGACAGAAGCGGCTTCGGGAGGCAGCAGACTCCGCTCACTCATCGGCACACACTTCCCATCCTCTGCACAAGTGTGTGCAGAGTTCCGAGAGTGCACTCTGCGAAAGGAATGTCTTCAAGACTTTTGAAAAAATATAAAGAATAATAAGTTTCCCACAGGAAGCAGAAGTCACAGAGGAGGGTGTTACGTGGAAGGAGAAAGGCTTCCTATCATTCAAAACTGAAGCATAGGCTGGACTGAGGGTGGGGTGGGAACGAACACCCTATGGCGTCAGTGACGTGTATAGCTGACGCAGTGAGCGGTTTGTGACCTCTTGTCCCGGGTTTTTGCTAAGAGAGTAAGAAATACAGCAGCAAAGTGGAAGGAGAGGGAGCTAAAGAAACCAGTGAGAGCAGGTGGCAGGAAAGACGAGCAACGGCTAATTTCAAAATGGTTGTGCATTTTGAATACACACGCTAACTCTACCCAGGAAGTAACCAGACACCATTCTACTGTGGCCTCACATACCCAATTTTTTCCATAGCAGATGGAAATTCCAAAGGAGGGAGCCAGTTGCCAGTGCGGTTTTCAGTGCATACTTAGAGACTAGGAAGCCGGCCTGCAGCACTCAAGGAAGGGGTCAGGAAAGAGCAAGGAGCGGAAGTCTCCTACCTTAGCTCTCATTTAAGGGTCTCTATCAATAGTAAAGTTACTTAACAGTCACATTTTCTCTATTCAAGTGAAAAGCTTGATGGATTCTAGAGTTTGGACTCCGTCCCAACTATTGAATTACAATAAAAAGAAACCCTTCATCCACTTAGCAATCACTCCACTCCCTCTCCCCTTCGCGCTCGACAGTCACTAACCAACTTCACAGATTCTATTCTGCAGGACTTTCAGGCCCGGTGAGGAGAGTGCTCTAGTGCTGCGCTCCAGCCCCGGCTCCCATCTGGGCATTCATGTGAATGGTTCCACGCAGCACACGGTCTTTGCCACTGGCATCTTTCCTTTAACATGTTTTAAGGTCCGTTCATCTTGTACATGCTATCATTCTTTCCTTTACTAAAAAGCTATACAAAAAGAACGCAACAAGCCAAATGAAATTCCATTGCATGGACGTTTCACATCGCGCTTGTCCATCCAGCAGTCAACAGGCATTTGGGGCTGTTTCTACATTTTGGCTATTATGAATAGAAATGCAAGGAGTGTTTCTCTTAGTCACTGGTTTTTGGGGTGAAGAGACATGATGACCCCATGGCAACTCTTATCAAAGAAAACATTTAATTGAGGGTAAGCATCAGGGGGTAAGTCTATTGTCATCATGGCAGAGAGCACGACATCATGCATCGTGCTGGAGCTACATCCTGATCTGCAGGCAGAGAAAGAGACCCTGGGATTGGCGTGGGCTTTTGAAACCTCAAAGCCCGCCTCCCCTTCGCCCAGTGACACACTTCCTCCAACAAGGTCACACCAACTCCAACAAGGCCACACTTCCTAATTCTTCTAATACTTTCAAACAGTTCTTCCTTCAACTCTGATGACTAAGCACTCACTATATGAGCCTGTGGGGGTCAACCCCATTCAAACCACCACAGTGCTCATGTACAATGTTTGTGCTAATGCACTTCTCTTAGGTACACATAGAGATGTGAGACTGCAGGCCACGCAGTAACCTCACTCTTAACATTGTACAGAACTGATAAACCATTTTCCAAAGAGGCTGCACAATTTTGCAATCCCACTAGCAATCTGAGATTTATTTCTACACAGCCTAACCAACGCCTGTGACTGTCTTTTTCCTTGAGCCATCTGTACGAGTTTCCTGTGGCTGCAGTGACACTTTGACACAAACCACATAGCTTAAGGCGATAGGAACATTTTTTTTTTCACAGCGCTAAGCGCATACATCTGCAATCAGGGTGTAGTGGAGCCATGTTTCCATCAAGGACTAGAGGAAAACGCTTCCTTGCCTCTTCCAGCTTGGGCAGCCATCGAGATTCCTCACGTGTGACCTCTTGCACTCCAGTCTCTGCCCATCTCCACACTGGCATCTCCTTATCTGGCTTGTAGCTCTTACTACGCACCCGCCTCTGTCTTCACAAGGCATTTTCTTGATCTTTATGCCCACACATGGCTGTCATCTTATAGGGATATCGGTTCCACGGTATACCACCTTACTCCAATATCACCTCATTTTAGCCAGTTACCTCTGTAAAGACCCCATCTATCTCCAAATAAGATCATGTTCTGAGTTACTGGGAATGAGTACCCCAACATAATTCAACTCATAGCAGCAACCCATCTGGTCACTTAGCCCAGCTTCCCTAGGTCCACAACATTACCTCTTTGAGTCCATCTGTCCTGTTACTAACATCTGTCCCGTTACTTACAGCTGTGTTCTTGCTTCCTGTGACATGATCCTCCCTTAGACCCACCATCACTGATAAACCACAAAGACCAGATTTATCCCTGCTGCAGCAGGGGCCGTCCAGGTCCAACTGCCTTGTCATATCCTGGGCAGTTTATGCTTTGCACTTTGTATGGCTCATCCTGCTGCTCACCATATCCAATATGGCTGCTTGCAAGTCAGTGATAATTTCATCAAAATCACCAGGATTTCGAAGCAGAGAAAACCCCATCTTTTGAAAAAAGCAACAGTTTCCACTGTGTTTACTGTTTGGGGGCCCCGTGAGCTTCCCAAAGTAGAGGCTTTTAAAATTCCTCTCTGTGCTTCCCTATACTCTTTGAAGCCTCTGACTAGGACACTTTACATTGTACACAGTATTTGTGTACTTATCTTCTCCTCCCTAACACTGTGACATGGACATGTTTTATTCATCTTTACATTCTACTAAACACAGTGCCTGGTTTATCCATGTGTCCAGAAGGTGTTACTAAGAAATGGATACTGAGAATACTACCCATCCAGTTCTCCTCTACGGTAAGGGTCAGCATGTCACTCCAAAGTGACACTGAAAAAAATCCTATAGCCCACACCCAGGCCTCCTTTGAAACAGCCTGGGAAGCCTGGGGATCAGCAACGCCCTCCACTCACTACACAGAGAAGCATGTTAAGTTTTCCTAAAGAAATATGACTTCAGTAGTTCTCTCACAAGACGTAGCCGGTGCCCATCATCATAAATGCAATTTGAAAAGAAGGTTATAATGAAAGGAGGGCGAGGAGAGTGTATGAGTAAATTCCCACGGCCTTCCAATAAAGCAAAAATATGTCAAAAATCTTATACCCAGTCCTAGTACTTATTAGTGTTCCAGGTCCCTCAGTGCATCCTTACTGATAGGATATACTTGTTATGAAATTAAGGTCAACCAAAAGAATCCAGAGCTCCTAAAGGAGCCAGGGCAAACAAGACAGGGCAAGGGAAAGAACAGAGAACGTTACTAATCTAACAGAAAATTGAGAAAGAGGACTAAGCAAAATATTTATGGACTAATATGATAAAATAAAAGAATACGATCAAGCAAGATACAAGTAACTTCTTTTAAAAGAAAAAACACCTCAGGGCCTCACATAGCCTAGATAAGAGCTTTGCCACTGAGCTATACTCCCAGCCTCATATAACCAACTTTATTACAACCTTCTGGATGGAGACGGATAGGTGAAAGGAAAAGTATTGGCTCAGGACCCCCAAGACCAAGTTCTCAGCACAAAGGACATTTATTTGCCCCAGAGGGACAGAGGGCAGGGATAAGAGACAAAACAGGATAGAGGACAAGGGAGAAGGGGAGGGAACAAGGGGAAGGGATATTTGCCTCGGAGGACAAAGGACTGCCTCTGGATAGAGAGGAGACAGATGTAGCCCACAGGAAAATAGTTCATAATGGTAAAAGGAGAAACCTCATGTTAAGATGAGGTATTTAATTTTAATTGGGCGTGTTAATTAGGTGAGCCAAAACGGGGCTTCTGATTGCTGGACTTCAGTACTTTCGTAGCTGGACTTCGGTAGTCAGTCTCAGGAGGAGGAAATAGCCAAATAAGGAAATAGAACTTGGTGGCTACCTTCAGGAATGTAATCTAACGGGTTTCTTTGGTTGGTTGTTTGGTTGTTTGGTTGGTTGGTTGGTTTGAGACAGGGTTTCTCTGTGTAACAGTCCGAGCTGTCCTGGAACTCACTTTGTAGACCAGGCTGGCCTAGAACTCACAGAGATCAACCCGCCTCTGCCTCCCAAGTGCTGGGATTAAAAGCATGTGCCACCACCACCTGGCAATCTAAAGGTTTTTAAGAAGCCAGAGGGAATGGGGGAGAAGGACAAGGTCTGTCAGAGCCATGGGCACCACATTTGAGCTGGCCAGAGTCCCTTCAATAGGTGGAGATGAAAAAAACCTCCAATGTATCTCTAATAACTAAAGATAAAAAAAAAACTACATAGTCTTCCACTTACTCAAGTTTTTTTGGTTTTGTTTTGTTGTTTACTTGTTTTTGTTTTGTTTTATTTTGTTTTTTCAAGACAGGGTTTCTCTGTGTAGCCCTGGCTGTCCTGGAACTCACTCTTGTAGACCAGGCTGGTCTGCCTCTGCCTTCCAAGTGCTGGGATTAAAGGCGTGTGCCACCACTGCCAGACCAACCTCAAGTCTTTTTATCATGGCTGTAGTGTAACTATGAACTAACTTGGGGAGATCTAACACATGCACAGACCTGCATCCTAACCCAGCCTTTATCACAATGCATGAAGACTTATTTCCCATTACAATCTGAAGTTTGCTGAACCCTAATAATCTTTGCAAAGCAGAGACAAAACCAATCCAAATTCAATTATTTTTAATGATTTCTTGGTTTCTTCTTTTTATCATCATATTTTTAAAGACTTCTGCATATATGTAGTGTCTGTGTGGGGGTATGTGCATGTGAAGAGGGTGCTGGATCCCCTGGAACTGGAGTTACAGGCAGCCTGAT